TGCGTTGAGTTCGTCATCGGATAAAGTGACGGGTAAAGATTTTGACTTTTTACATCGTTGTTCTTTCGTGGTCGGTGCGAATTTATGTAATGGTTGAGCTATCTTCGTGAATCCGGGTATAAATTTGGAAAGGTTTCCTTCGCTGTTCTGGAAGCGGAGTTTCTAATATAATGCCAATTAAATACTGTACTGGTATAAGTCATGTTTGTCTTCGGCCAAATCTTTTTAAATATTTGGAATCAATAATAGGTCTGAAATAGAACTATTTGGTCATATCTCATAACAGTTTGTGCAAGAGTGATACCACTTACGCCCATATTAATTTTAAACTAAATGGCCAAAAAGCAAATGAAAATATTGCCTGTTGTGATCAAGATGCGCCGAATGACTGTATAATAAGTGGAATTGAAGCTGCCATACCTAACGGAATTCCTTGCAAAAGATATAAAAACAATAATAAAAATATCGATAACCTGTCTGATCTCCAGCTTTGTTTATATGGTAGACTCATGTCGATTGATGATGATTTTGGGCGATAATGTTTCAACATAATTTTGTCTTGTGGTAGTTGCTGGTAAGGATGTCGCTGTGGGTTTTTTTCGTGGCTTGTGCTGTCACTTTCTTGATGGAAGGATGATTGATAGTTGACCCGTACTGATTTCAATAATAGATAATCTTTTGATTTATCATTCATACGATGTCGAAAATCAGTCATCTTAAAATATTAAAAATTCCATTCTTAAATGAAAACAATGAAAAACATGTTAGTTAGTAATGTTATATTGTTATTGTTTAGATAAGATGCAATAAAACAAATGTTATATGTTGAAATATTTGAGATGTAAATAGATTTCTTTGCTTCCGTTTTTTCTGCCGGCTTCATGGAAGATTACTTGAAAATTTCTTAGAATAAATTCCGTTAGAACTTCTAAAATGATAGATTTGAATTTGGTCATTCGACTATCATATTCAGTTAATTGGTTTGAAAATTAAACGCCGAAAGGGGGAAGCAGATGAGAAAAAGAGGCTGGGAGGATGAAATAACATATTAGTTGATTCGGAATGCATCCTACCAAAAAAACTCACACGAAACCCATAGCATAGTCACAGTAAAAATGTCGTTTTTTCTATGTCACATTTATGCCATTCAGTTCAACATCTTTACCATTGAGTGCAACATCTTTAGGGCTTGTCAAAGCGTGACGCTGTGACATTTTTGACACACTAACTTGAGCTTTTCTCAAAAAGTGTAAAAGCTAGAAACTTCGTTCTTGCGCCATTCGACGCAGCTCACCATACTCTACTTTTGGTATAAAAATGAAGGTATGTGGTTAAAGACTTGAGTTTTTAGAACCGTTTTTCGGCGCGTGACGTTGTGACAAAAAAAGGCCCGAAATTCGAAGATCTTCTGATTAAAAGCTAATTTGCTGCGAAATTAGAAAAGCTAATAAAGAGCACCCCGAGCAAAGTTTGTAGAGGAGTAAACCAGCTACTTATTGCTAAAAAAGAATCTATCCAATGAGCTTTTCATTCCTCAGTAACTGTGTTGTATCGTCGTGACGCTGTGACACTCGTTTTTCGCTAACAAAGTTTGGAGCACTAAACATTGCTCAGAGAATTTCATTTCCACATCGGACTTAGTTTTAGACTTCTGATATACACTAACGTGAAAATAAAGCTGAAAAAATGTTTTCACTTTCTTGGAATTGTGTGAGAATCTTAAAACTTAAAACTTTATTAAAAAGCTTGTTTTGAATCTAAACTTCAAAAGAAAGATACCGTCTTGTAGAGAGTTGAATTCTCTATCGATTAGTGTGGCCTTCCATTTTTATTAGGAAAGTGTCTCGGTGAGAAAATTGAAAATACAGTTTTCAAAAACTGCAAAATTGGATTTCTGGTGCCAGAATTTCACTTTTTTAAAAAAATAATGTGAGATTCGTAATCAGCGCTAAAAACTGAATCTAGTGATATGCTCCTTTCAGTTCTATTCCAAAATAATTTTTTGAAAAACTTGATCAGCGAAGTCCCGAGTTACGTGGCAAGTCGTTTAACTTGTCATTACAACTGTAGATTTTCCTTTAAATTTCGGTGGCTTGCTCTTTCCGTTGAATGACTTCAGCAATTTTTCTGCATTCTGTCAGCTACAAAAACAAATAAGCAAATTTTCATTTTTTTATTTGATTTAATGAATATTCGCGTCAGAGATATGAAGATTTAAAACAAAACCTTGTAAATGAATTATCAGTCTGAAGTGTAAACACTTTGTAAAAAAATGAAAATTATTTTTTATTTCATAACGATCGAATTTGTGGTTTATCATTTTGTTGTATAGTATGTTTAATGCAAGCAGCTTGTTTTAAACCATCTAGGACAACAAGTTGAAGTGTATGAGCAGAACAAGGCAATCTCAACTCACTCTTGGATGCAACATTATCGAAGCTATGCGAATTTTCACTTTTTTTTCATCTTAGTTTTTATATAAATTTATGAATTTTATATTATTAGAAACCATTCATCTCCGATTGATAACTGTTGAAAGTGTTCAATCAATTCAACTAAATGACGTTCATGTACGGCACTATCCAAATATAATTTTGATAAATAGTTGATTAAATGTTGTTTACATAGTTCTTGATCTCTGCAACGACAAAAAAGCAGCAGAAATTATAGATAATTTATTTATGTCGCAGTAGAAATTAAAATTTAGAAAAAAAAGTAGAAATAACATTCTACTACCCACCCAATAGAAGACCATTTGGTCTTCTATTCTGTCCGGCAAGTCGAATTCTAAAGGGTAGTTGAAATTACAATTCCATTTTCTACCAGGAGAAACTAAAATAAGCAGCGATTTTAAGTTGCATTAGTAGAAATTGAAGTTTTAATCTCTACTATAGGATTCTACCAGAAGTTTATACTGTGGAAGTATTTTAATTTCTACTGTAGTAGAAATTAAAATACACATTTAGACGGATGAGGATCTGTACAAGCACATGCATTATTTATTATCAAGAGAGACAGCAGCACAGGAACTTGTTGAATATGTCTAAGAATTTACATCTATATATTTGAACATTGTTTCTTTTTGGCAGGATCAGGCCTGTGACAGCTGGCGGTTCTCGTTCTTTGAACGGGAACTGATTTTCAGTTGCCGTTCAATAAACGGGAACGGTTTTTCAGTTTCCGTTCTGAACTAGGAACGGTTCAGCAGTTCACGTTTCTAGAAACGAGGAACGGTTCACCAGTTCTGGTTTCGCGAACGGGAACTACAGTTCGTTTTGAACTGGAAACTGCTCAGTGTCCTTTTATGATTTGTTGATATATTATGTATTTCATTTCGCAAATATAAGATTTTGAAGGAGTGAGCGTTGGAATGAGATAATCAGCAAAGTCTACCACCTAATCTGAGAGTCTCTTTGAGCATGAGTTTAGTTCGTTACTTCTTAAGATCTTGATATACTGCTTAAGTTCAAGAACGCATGTTAGAGAAGTTCAGCTCCTGATGTGTAGTAGTTTTTGTCTGCTGCAGTGTGGCATTTTCCATATTCTCTCTCTAACTATTTTACTTAGTATTCAAATCTTAGAACGTCCAGTACTTTTCTTTTTCTTATTTTTTGTTACGCCATTTTCTTACGCATGTGTCATAAACATTGGTTGCAAAGACCAGAAAATAAAAACGAAAAATAAAGAGTAAAGAATATCGGCATGAAAGATCAATAGACCATCTACATTATGTCCAGGTTCTATAGTTATGTACAAAAGTCATGTGCGCCTGTATCTTTCTTTTTATAAACTGGAAGGAAAAGAAAATTTCACTACATTATATGAATATCTCTTTTTCTTTTTCTACTAGTTGTTCGTTTTCTTACTTAAACCTACTGTGAAAGATTCTTCTACAGTCTTACATAAAAAGTAATACCTTATAATGGTTAAAACAACAGATGATGCACGTTCACGTTCAGTTACAAACGATAAATTATTACGTAGTATTCATAAACTAATAACGCGATCATCTAGTCGACCACAAGGCGTGATTACCAGTGCCAGGATAGAAGCACGTTCGAGTTCAACAGATAAAATCAGTAAAAAAGCCTTATCAAGAAAACAATTATCAAACAAACAGTCCCAAATAGCAAAAACAAACACATTTGTTGCAGCAACAGATTTAAGTAATCAGGATGAATCAGCGTCGAAAATGGATGATGGCAGTGATGTAAGTAGTAAAAGTGATGTATTACTAGTAAAGAAACAAAGAAAACGAAAAACAACTCCCGTATTTGAATTTGCTCAAAGAGTTAATCCTAATGAAATTAAATGTTTATCATGTAATAAGGTAAGCAACGCACGTCTCGTATATAATTACACATATAGTAGGACCATGTGCTTGTGATAGATGCTTAATCGTGTGACCATACAATAAGTCATACACCAGTCTTCGATTTTTACAGATATCGGCTAAACTATGATAGAGCTGAAAATTTCTTTATCACTACAAAAAAACTTCTAAACGAAAAGGATTTATTGTTTTAGCATATTAGAGAAGAAAACGGGTCAACAACAAATGTGCGACGACATTTAGATAATATTCATGGGAAAACGTCTTTAAAGTATCCATCATCAAAAAGACCTAATCGTGTTTCATTAGAAAATAAAAATCAGCCAGATGTAGCAGCCATTAAGTGTATCGTTAGAGATGTTCGTAGTTTTAACGATTTTAAAAAAGACGGTATGCAGCAATACTAGAACATACCCAGAGGATTTTTTTGATACCAAAAATTTCCTTTGCACGCATTAGCTATGTTTTAACCCATTTAACAGCATTAAATATTAATAAACTCACATGCGTTAAGTGACTTAAAAAGAAAGTTCTAATGCGTTCACACGCGTTAAATTTAGCACACCAAAAGTAAACGAAAAAGTTCGCATGCATTGAAAAGTCGTTAATACGTTAAAACGACTTAAAATGGATAGTTAATGCGTTAGCCTAGCGAAAAAACGCGTGTTAGTCTCATGTTAAATTTTTTTAACGCATTTCTTGCGTTAAAATTAAATTAAGCACTAACGATTTTAACGCGTTTGGATAATGCTGACTTTTAACGCCTGATAAACTCAATGCTTTTTAACGCGTTAAAATTTCTTAATTCATGCGAACGCATTGAACTTTAAGGCGCTGAAATACCTTAAAAGCTTTTAAGGTGTTGACAGGTATTAGTATGTTCAAATGCATTTGAAGACATTAGATTTCAAGGCGTTCGAATGTATTAAGCTTTTTTAACGCATTTTAACGTATTAAATTTCTGAATTCATGTAAATGCAAGAAATTTTAATGAATTTGTGTGCATTAAAACTGTTCAAGATCTGTGAACGCATTGCAATTTCTGAATGCGTTTCAATTCGTTAAAACTTATGGAGTTTGCATGAATTAAGCAGTTTTAACATGTTTCAGTGCGTTAAAAAAAATTTTACGCATTAAAGCACATGAAAATTGTTTCACTCATGAAAACGCATTAAATTCTAACGAATTTTAATGCATTCATCTATGACCATATGAACAGAAGGCTCAGCTGTTCGGAAGAGTCTTTAAGGTCGGTGTAGTATGACCCAGAGGATTTTTTTGATACCAAAAATTTCCTTTGCACGCATTAGCTATTTTTTAACCCATTTAACAGCATTAAATATTAATAAACTCACATGCGTTAACTGACTTAAAAAGAAAGTTCTAATGCGTTCACACGCGTTAAATTTAGCACACCAAAAGTAAACGAAAAAGTTTGCATGCATTGAAAAGTCGTTAATACGTTAAAACGACTTAAAATGGATAGTTAACGCGTTATAGTCTCATATTAAATTTTTTTAAGGGATTTCTTGCATTAAAATTAAATTAACCACTAATGCTTTTAACGCGTTTGGATAATGCTGACTTTTAACGCCTGATAAACTCAATGCTCTTCAAAGCGTTAAAACTCTTTTAACGTGCTTTAACGCATTAATTTCTTAATTAATGCTAATACATTGAACTTTAAGACATTCAAAGACCTTAAAAACTTTTGAGGCGTTGACAGGTATTAGTATGTTCAAATGCATTTGAAGACATTAGATTTCAAGGCGTTCGAATGTATTAAGCCTTTTTAATGCATTTTAATGTATTAAATTTTCTGAATTCATGTAAATGCAAGAAATTTTAACGGATTTATGTGCATTAAAACTGTTCAACGTCTGTGAACGCATTGTAATTTCTGAATGTGTTACAATTCGTTAAAACTTATGGGATTTGCATGCATTCAGCAGTTTTAACACGTTTAAATACGTTAAAAAGCTTTTACACATTAAAGTACATGAAAATTGTTTCATTCATGAAAACGCATTAAATTCTAACGAATTTTAATGCATTCATCTATGACCATATGAACAGAAGGCTCAGCTGTTCGGAAGAGTCCTTAAGGCCTGTGTAGTATGACTGCTTGGGTAGAAAGGATCGTCCTAGATCAAACTTTTTGAGAGGAATCCAATGGTGATGTCAGAAAGAGTTGAAAATGCTTTTCTATCGAATGTGGGTACGATTTCCGATGCTGAAAAGTGTTAATGTGTTCACATGCCTTACCGTCCAATGCATGTGAACGCGTTAAACGAACTCGAGTCCGTGTGAATGAGTTGAATGGACGAAATTATTTTTTAAGACGTTCTAATGCATGAACTTGCTAATGCCTTTAAATATTGCGCAGAGAGAAAATTTGCAAGTTATTTAACTTACTCTTCTTACCTAAAAGTGTTCAGTTCTGAGAAGTTACGCGCAGACTATAGCTTCCATATAGCTTATCATTAGAATTGATTACTTTTCCTCCGAGAGAGAGCTTCCTTAAAGTCGAAACTTGCGCTTTCCGCTGGTGTCAAAGTTTCATGCAAAAAATTGCAAAACTTCGCGTTGGTTCTTTTGCAAAAATCTGTAGTAAAATTTCCGTGTCTCGGAAACATCACACACGAATTTCTTCTGCGTTTTCAAGCAGGAACAAAAAATTTTGCGAAAATCTTATTCAACAAAACATACGGAGTATAACGCAAAAAAAATTCTGCAATAAAAGGCAAAAAGCTATCGTTTTCTTGTTTATTTTTGCGTGGTAAAAATACAGCGCAACAAAACGCATATAAGGAGTATGCGTTTTCTGGCGTCGCGCTAGAGTGGCCAGAAAAGTGCCATAAAACGCTCATTTCTGCAGAAATCGTTAAAAAATTTAGCATGCATGATGTTCTCGAATCCAAGAAGTTGGTATCTTGAACAAGAAACAAGATTTATTGAGTAAAAAGACGAAACTTTTCTACACGTTTAAATCAGATGATGACACACTTTGAAAACTTCAAAACATTTGTTGGAAAAGTAGAAATCTAAGATCACATACAACTTTCTTTCGACATTTTTCAATAACGATAAAAACAATTATCTCTGTCTTAATGTCTTAAAAGCTGTAGCTTTTAAGACATTAGTAAAAGTTAAAAAAGTTAAGGCTCCTAAATGCATTGATTTTTAAGGCATGCGAAGTCGTTAAAAGTGTTTTCAATTCATTTAATGTGTTCAAACACGTTAAACGTCCGAAAAAGCATTAACGCATTCACGTGAATTAATTTTTAACTCTTGTGAACTCATTAGGCCGCTCTTCAGACCTATGAACGTATTGAATTTACGAAAAACAGTTTTAATGCATTCGATAATATATCAACAGATCATAAAAGGACTGAGCAGTTTCCAGTTCAAAAAGAACTGTAGTTCCCGTTCGTGAAACCAGAACTGCTGAACCGTTCCTAGTTCAGAACGGAAACTGAAAAATCGTTCCCGTTCATTGAACGGCAACTAAAAAACAGTTCCCGTTATCGAGAAACTGCAGTACAAGGAACTATGAACTGTCACAGGCCTAGGCAGGATGGCATTTTGTACCACATGGTACTTTAGCTGCTTGTACAACAAAATGTGTTCTATTCCCAAGATATGATGTTAATGATCTCATAGATTTAACAAAATGTAATTTTTCTAAATCACATGCTATTGATTCTCAAACGGTACCGACACAAACATTTATTCAAGCTTATAAAGATTATGTTAGTAGTGGTGTTAATCCAGTTTCAGAAGCTTATGCTTGTAATGGTGGTTGTGCTACAAAAATATGTCCATGCAAAGCAGTTAACATACAAATATATAAAAACGTAAACTCTTTGACATATTCAGCAAGTTCCTGTGCTGCTGGCTCTCTTGATAATAAATAATGCGTGTGCTTGTACATATCATCATCCGTCTAAAGGTGTATTTTAATTTCTACTACAGTAGAAATTAAAATACTTCCACAGTATAAACTTCTAGTAGAATTTAAAATTCTCCTATAGTAGAGATTAAAACTTCAATTTCTACTGATGCAACTTAAAATCGCCGCTTATTTTAGTTTCTCCTAGTAGAAAATGAAATTTTAATTTCAACTGCGACATTCACATGCTTTAATGTATTAAGGCCTTGCTCACGTCAGAAATGACCATCTGCGATAAAAACTTCGATTTTGAGAAAAATACATGGTCTAACAGTCCAAAGTGTCCTCTTCCGAATACACTAAATCCTAAAAGCTCAATGACTCGATTTAAGGGTTTTTCAGCAAAATCTATGAAAGTTCTAGGGATAAAAGCAAAGGTTTTGATTGCTTTAGTTTGTGCTAATTTCGTGGCTAGGGGCGAGACAGTTCCAGTTCCTAAAGTTGTTGAGAACTGGTGGAAAGAACTGATTAGCCGTTCTCGTTCTAAGAATGGGAACTGCTGAACGTTCTTTTCAAAAGAACGCGAGCTGGTTACCAGTTTTTTTCAAGAATTCAAAATAAAATAAAACCGGTGAAGCTAAGTTACATGTCCATCAAACGCTTAGTCCTTTGGCGTCAATGTAACTAGCTTCACCGGTTTTATTTTATTTTGAATTCTTGAAAAAAACGTTCAGCAGTTCCTGTTCTTAGGAACGCGAACGGCTAACCGGTTATCATTCCACAGAACTGAACCGAACTGTCCCGCCCCTATTCGTATCTCTGTAGGTCTTCGATCAAATCTCTAACAATACATTTACTACTAATATTTAATTATTACTGAACAAGTACTGTTTGTCTTGAAACTAACAAGAATAATGCACTTTTTGAAAGAAAAAAGTATTTTGCGTTTTTTTCAAAGTGGTTTTTTCCTATAGGGTGTTTCGTATTTGCATAAATTTTCCGTAACATTACAAGCTGCAGCTTTTGCAGACGCTTAAATTGTAGCCAGCACATGTACCTAGAGGTTAACAGAGGTCAGTTTTGAATTTTGGTCTAGTTTTTTATACTTCGTGAAATCAGAACAGCTGTTTTTGACCTTGCCTTCGCCAGAACCTGTACAAAGCAAAATATTCAAAATCCGGCTCTGTTAGCCTCTAGACCCTTGTGTTGTCTATAATTTAAAACGTTTTCGAGGTCTTTAGCAAGTACAAAACCATTTTCTGACATGAAGGCCGGAAGAACTCAGAAATATATCTCGATAACCATAAGTTTGATCTGGACCAAACTTTCGGAGAATATTGACTGTATTCAAGTATAGTAACGAAATGTTTTTTTTAAGGCTTCACGAGATGTGGCTACAACTAGGGAAAAAATAGTCTTTGGCTCGTGTCTATCTGGTCTTTATTCTAGATGGATGATAGAGAGATTAGATTGGTTTTGTTTTGCAATAAACACTCATGAATTTCTCCTTTACTGATCTTTGGTGCGTAGTAGAGCTCTAAAATTCTAAACACTTGGAAGACAAATGGGCGTGGCCATCTAACTCTGCTACTGCTATTTGAATTTTTGAAAAGTAATACTCGATGTTTTATTAAGACCTTCAGAAAGAGGCATGTTATAGAATGCAGATACGTCCTGAAATGTTCACAAGACTTTTCTCTTCAAATTAAGACGTCTCGGGACTATCTGCGTGGTCCGGCTTAGTATATACCGATACTAGAAAAATGTAATTTAGATCATGCCTGATTCATAAAACTGAGGCAAATCTCTCTCTACTCATTTTCACTGCACTTTTTTTACATTAAATGTACTTAATATTCACATTCTAATACTTTATAGCAAGTAAAGTTTAGACATAAAATCCGTGACATGCTATGTAATTACCATAGCTCGAAGAGAAAGTGCGAAAGCCATCGCGGTTTTCAAACCTATCTGGCAATTCATCTCAAATTTTCATTATCGTCGAAACTCAAATTGGTTTTCAGAAATACGCATTCTTATAAAAGTAAAAAGCAAATAAAAAAAGGTGACCTTTCTCTGATGCATCGTTAACAAAAATTTCTGTACACGACGAAAGCCCTAAACCTAAGAACCAGTTTTGAGAAAAAAACACAATAGGTTTTCATTCTGTCAGATGCGTTTTAATTGGGATATAGTTTGTTGATACTTTTCTACAGATTATAGACTACTGCGAATCGAATGGACACATGCGGTATATGTTTATGCATATGTGAGCAAATTGTATTCTAAACCTCTTCAAAATCATGACTTTTGAATCTACATTGAATATATCATTTTTAAGCTAAATTTGTATGCATATATGCTCACATATGCTGCTCACTTATCTTACAAAATTCTTAATCTTACGCATTCAGAAACACTAACATCTTTTTAATCATAGAGCTTCTAGAAAATCACGCTACATTTTATGAAAAAACACTTCTAAAAAAATGCCCAGTGTATACACTGGGTATTTTCAGGTATACCTGAAAATAAACACTTCAGGCTATTAGCCATTAAGTTTTCTCAAAATCACTACTTTTAATGAAAGTTACCATTTCTGGCTTGAAAGGTCCTTAAAGCCTTTCGCCCCCCACTCCAAAAAGTCGACTTTCGTCAAAAAACTGATTTTTGCGATAGATATATGGGCATGTCGCCTGAGATGTCTACTTCACAAATATTATTGAATCTCGAAGATTTTTAAGGATCCTCCCTCAGAAAATATCCCCGACACTGTATATCCGATCTTGAGGAAACTTTCCATAAATGTTAGGCACAATGAGTTAGGGGAATGAAAAAATATTTTTGTCTCCAAGTCTTATGGTTTAGGAGTTTTCCAGAGATCAAGGTCCAAAAAGGACCCTGAAGTGCGTCCCAGCATTTTTTAATATACTTCAAGCTGGAGAGTTCGGGTTTGTTTTGTTTTAAACTAGACATCTAACTGCATCGACTGATCGGCGCCGATTTGTCAATTAAGCCTTATCTAAATTTCAAAATAATTTGTCTCAAATAAATCTAACGACTGTACTGAATGAACTTACCTTTTGTTATTGATTTCGATTTATGTTTATGATGCTGCTATTAAATTGATACTAAATCAGAAAAACAATTTCCTACTTTATTAAAAGTCGAGGCAGTCATTTTGGATCAACAATCAACAGTTTGGTGATTGCAATAGCATATTTACCACCGGAATCGACAAATTATTTCATAAAATACAACAGCTATGTGAACTAATATTTACAACTGCTAATGCATTATACACTGGAGTAATTGCAAAAATTCATTACCTATTGCTTCGTAATACATTATATGATTTGAAGGTAATAAAATCCGTTCACATACCTTAACAACGAAAAACTAGATATTCAATTGATCATCATCGAAGTGCTTATTTAACATTCTTAATAAGCTATACCGAAAAAAGTTAAAAAGAAAAATATTAAACGACTAATATTAAAATTCAGTTACATATTTTTCTTGTTCTAAGATAGACAAATATTAAAGTTTTTCGCCTAGGATTTGAAAAATATTAAATTGTTTTATTCAGATAGGAAAATATTTAGATAAGGTACATAAGTCAGGTTTCGCATATTCGTACCTTCTTGGGAGGTTCAAATTGCGACATCAGCTCCTTCATTTAGAATGAGATAAACGAGATAGAAAAATATTAAAGTTTTTCGCATAAGATAGAAAAATATTTAGTTATATTAAAATAAAGGAAAAATATTTAAATAAAGAAAACGATTGGACGAACTAATATTTAACTAAGGTGGAAAAATATTTAATTGCTTTTTAATATTAATCGTTTAATATTTTTCTTTAACATTAGTTTACGGTATAAATTTAGGCATATATAAATTCAATTATTTTTCCTAATTTAATGTTGTTTTGTTTGCTTCTAAACATTTCCTTGTTTGCGCCTATCTATCGTTTCACACACATACACTAGAAGTTCCATATAAAAGCAGTTTGTGATAATCTGTCAGTAAATCGTAAATAGGTTCATGAATCAACGGGTACCGGTATTGACGAAGATATTATAAAAGAAAATGTAAATCTCCTGAAAAACGCACAGACATTTTTTAAACTTCGAACGGATGTATCTGGAGAATGGTAAGAGGAAAAGGCCTGTGATTTTTAACAAATATGTAAGTGAACAAATTCTATAATGATTAAAAGTTTGAGCCTCAACCGTCTAATTGTTTGGATTTTATGAGTAAAATATTGATCGGTAACGCACAGACAAAAAAGGTCCTCTTTTCCAGGCACATGCGAAAGAAGTGATAAATTTTACGGACTACTCCATGTTAATGAATTGCGCGAGAGAAAGTTTTGTAGCTGAAAGTCAGGGCTGTCTTTTCGTAAAGAGAAAATATTGATACCTTGAAAAGTTAGCGAACTATTGACAAAACATTAGGTAATGCACAGACATGAAGTTTCAAAACAGAATCCTAGATTTAAAATTTTATTTCGTATTTGGAAATATCGGCTTAGAACATCAAAGTAATGATATTCACTTATGTCTTTCAAGCTGCCATTACTGTTTTTATGTTAATAATGCTTCCATTTTTGTCTGAGATAAGATATGTTAGAAATATAATAAGAGACAAAAGAGTCTTTTCAAGCTATTTTTGCACAAAAAATGCTGAATTTTTTGCTGGTAACTACCATTTCTTCTAGTGATGTGAATGTACGCGATACGGTGTGTCTTATTTTCGATCGAGCGATAGATATGAAGGTAAATTAAGACATGGTAAACGTAATGGCCGCAGTATATACTATTACCAGAGTGGTGGAAAATACGATGGCGAATGGAAAGACGGGAAAAGACATGCTATGGTGTGCGGACATCTGCTGATGGCGCAATTATACGAGGAATGTAGAATATGGATACAAAATGTTAAGACACGGGAAGGTTTTTTTATTTCTTTCGTTGTTTCCGTACACAAAGATATTTTGATTACAACTTAAGAGCTACGGAGAAATTTGATGAGTCTGCAGAAATTAACAATAACACAACAACTGACATTTATCCGTGCTCTTCTCTAGTTTTATAAATGTGAACTACTTGCAACAACTTTGTTTCGAATCAAATCGATAGGAAGTAGAACTAACACAGAACACATGGCTTATGCTGTAGACAGCGAACAAACAAGCGATAAAAGGCTATGGTAACTTTTTTATAAAATGAGAGAAAATTAAACGTTTATTTCGTAGTCAGAATTTTCTCTTTCTTCATTGGATGAACATTGACTGATTAAAAAGTAAAAAAAGCGGTCGTCCACAGACTTTTGGGTGAAAGAAATCTGATACATCGAAAAGATAAGAAACAAAAGAAATTTGTTAGCATAGTAGATCATTCTTTTTTTCTTCCTATGAAAGTAGTTCAGATTGATTGTTTTTACGTAATATTTTTTGGTAAAAAAACCTCGTTTTGAAACTTAAAGCAAGTTCACATGATCTTCTACAGAGTTTGGTAAATATGCATAAAGACCTGATACATTAATAGGTAATGTGTGAAAATATGACGAATTCGCTTGCAGGCGTCTAATGTGTCGCTAACATGTGTCCATATGAACGACCAAAAAGGACGACAAACAAGAAAAACATTCGGTAACTTTGATTCTTTGCGTCTGACGTTAGTCTTAAAAAAGCTTGCTGCTAAAGTCCTTCTTTTGTTATAAAACTGACAGTTCGGGCTTTTTGCGTTTTTCGACAACGCTGTAAGAAAAAGCGTCGGGAAACTGTCAAAACGCCGAGAAATGTACGAAAATTGCAAAAAAACTGTCAAAACACATGGTACAATCGATGTTCTCTTGGTACTTCTTGCTTCTTAGGAGTTTTTTTTTGTCACAAGCAAAGAGTCTGGTCCTGTCATCTTTTCGAACATTGCAATTAGAGTTTCTGATCGCGGTTTACCGCAACCGCAAAACCGCGGTATTTTGACGAAAATCAAAAACCGCAAACCGCAAAAGGAAAACCGCGGTATTTGCGGTTTTTATAAAATTTATCTAAGAAATAATTTTTTACCTATTTTTACATTATTAATAGGTATAAGAACAATAAAAATCACGCGAGAGAAAAGTATTAACAAATTGTTAGGAAGTAGTTAACCTAATCTCATATCAAGCATAATAATCTTGCGATATACATGTTCTCTTCACTCTATGGGTATTTTCCCTTTCTGTTCTTCTGTCATGTGTGTTCGCTCGTCTGCTTTCTTACAATGTATATTTTGTCTTTCTGTTCATTCTCTTCTATGGGTATTTTTCCTCCCTATTCTTATCTCTCTCTTGCGCTCACTTGTACACATTTTGTACAAATTTTGTTGCAATAAATGATATGTATAACAGTTACATTCTTCTTTGGCTACTAACCAGTTGATGCAAAACGATTCCGATAGGAATAACCTCAGAAAATTCAGTTTTATAACCGTTTTCCTTAATTCAAATTTGAATTAAGATAATGGTTCACGACATTTAGATTTTTTTTGTGGAATTCAGTATAAACAATATAAAAATAAATAATTAGATTTACTGAAAAAATATTTTAATTGGAAAACATATTAATGTAAGTATATTGTGCTGTTAAAAATGACATTTGAGATAATAGTTTTGATTTAAGGTAAATTACGCAATGTCATCTGTATGGAAATATGCTTTAAAACGTAAAAATCCAATTACTAAAGAATCTGACGGTGTTTGCAACAAGTGTGGACAAGTAATAAAGTTGTCAGGACGTTCAACAACTGGCTTGCGAAATCATCTCAAACAAAAGCATGGAATCGATGTCGATTTGGTAACTGAATAGAAGGATGAAACAGTTGAAGTAGTAAAGAAGCCAAAAACAATGTTAGATTATTTAGAGCGTAAACATCTCAAAGAAATTGTTATCGATTTAGCAACAGATGGAATCACTATTCGAGCAATAACGAGAAATAAGCATATACGTGATTCGGTTCAGAGAGACGGATTCAAATTACCAGCCAATGAGAGTGATGTTATGCGTTTAATTCACGAAGATTATGAAGACAAGAAAAATAAAATGGCGAGTGAAATTCAAAAGAAAACTTAAAAGAGTGGTAAATTTAGTATGACCATTGACGAGTATACAACTGTACGTGGAAGACGATATTTTGGTGTTAATATTCATGACAGCGATGAGAAGAAAACAGTTAAGACAGGTTGATTCGCATAATCGGCTCATTTCCTGCTGAAACAATGATTGAAATGGTTAGAAATCACTTATCAACATTTGGAATTAATACGGAGCAAGATTTGGTTGGATCAACTCAAGATGGTGCAGCAGTAAATAAGAAATTTATGGGAATGTTGAACATAATTGGTCAATTTTGCTTAAATCACGGAATCCATCTCGCAGTGTGTGATGTTTCGTATGAAAAAGTCAATACTTCTGAGAACCTGACAATAGATGTAGGATGTGATGATGAAAAAGATGATGATGAATTCGATGATGGTTGTGACTTAGAAATAGCTCGTGAAGAAATCAGTGACGAGATTAATTATTATACTGTCTTAAAAGCTGCGAGAGATGTCATAAAATATATTAAAAATTCAACGGTTCGTAACCAAATATTTCAATCAAAAGTTAATACGCAATTTCGACATGATGTGGAGCTACATTTAGATGTTCAGCACCGCTGGAATTTGATACCGATCATGCTTGGATCATTACTTAAAACAAAATTGTGTCTTTTTGAAACCTTTACCGAACTGAATGCTCTAGATTTGATTAATAAACTAGACTTCAAAGTAGTTGAAGAACTTCAAGAAGCAATGGCACCGATTAAACTGGCGGTCGAAAATCTCAGTAAGGAAAATTCAAATTTATTAACTGCTGACTTTATTCTCGAGTTCATATTTGGAAAATTGGAAAATCTTAAAAGTACTATAAGTTTAGAATTGCATGAATGTTTAAAAAAACGAATTGAGGAAAGAATGAATAGTGATGTCATGAGTTTATTGAAATGTCTTAACGATCCATCAAATGTTCCTTCAAAGAATATTATAAACTTAGCTGGAAAATTGTCACAACGTCTTTTCGGCTCTAAAAATGGTAGTGAAGAAGTTGACCAACCTGAACAACAAGAAAGTCAAGACAATATACCACTACAGGATGAATTAAACTTATTTTTGCAAAGAGAATTATCATCATCATTTGCAACCACAACAGACGAATTCAAATGGCTTAAGCAGGAATTTCTTTTATTTAAAAATACCGGCAAGCGCACTGAAAATTTGCAAAAACTCTTTGATGCACTCCTTTGCATCAAACCTACTTCAACTGATATTGAACGAGTATTCTCAATTTGCACTAATTTCTGTACTAAAATCCGCTCGCGTTTATCCGATAAGTCGTTGAGTGCCTTAGTTTTCCTCAAGTTTTATTATAACAAGATGAAGAATTGAATATTATGTATATTTTTGAATTAAATAAATAAAAAGCTGCTTATTAATATTCTCGTGAAGTAAAAACCAACCGATGTCTTCTTTTAAAAAATGAAATAAGTATTATAAATCTTATTGATTTGTTGAACACATAAATTATACATGAATTCAATGAAATATATTAAAAAATGTATTGAAATTTTTAAAAAACCGCAATACCGCGGTTTCAATGCTCTTAAAACCGCAGAACCGCGGTTTTTTTAAAAACGCGGTATTTCAGAAACCCTAATTGCAATATATCGTCGATGTTCTTTGACTAAATCAATTCGACGAGGATTGGTCAGAGGATTCTAGTTTTGACGAGGAGATGACGATACCATCTCTGGGGCTGGAGATACTAATGTCTCATTACTGTCGCTGTTGACTTCTGAATCTTCGTCAAATAATTCTTGGAGAGCTTCTTTAAAAGCTGAGTGATACGGCATATAGCAGGGTAATTGCAGTTTTTCCGCTTCCAAACCTTTTTCATATAATTTTTGTGCTTGAGCTAGAGCCATAGTTAATTGTGCAGATTGTTCGGATAAGTGAGACCTTAAAGGAAAGACAGACAGAATGGTTCTCGCCTAGACTTTATATATGTACCGTTAGAAGATAAAATGCAAAATTTGATGTCCGATCGTAATACATCATTTTTGTTTAAATGCGGATTTGATATCGAAAAAAGATTCGAAAACTTTAGTGTTTATCAGAAAGCTAAACGAAAGAAATTTGCAAAGATAAAAAGTCAGTGATCTCCTTTTCAAGAATTCATACTTATTGATAAAAGGAGGAAACTTCTGGAGTTTCATGAGAATGACCTTGCATTTTCAAAGTTTCTGGGCATGAACAATAGAACTCAACGGCCGAAAGTCGCTAAAAGCACTTTTTAATCTATAAAGCAAACAAATATTAATAGAAAACCTGCAAAAAAGTTCAACAGGTTTATTTCCGTTTTGAAATGCACAAAATTCGGTTTATTTGAATTACGCACGCGAAAATTTCAAAAGCAGTCTCATCATTTTTGAAATCTATTGCGTAAACCCATTTGATACCTACCGTTTCATCACCAGTAACGAGATACACATTTTCGGATGTAGGTTTTGACGCTGATTTCAAAGACGAAACCGCAGCTTTCTATCTTTGTCCAGAAAAAAGTTATAGTCAGAATACTCTCTCTCAGCAGAAAAATGCATTTTTCGTTATTTTCCAGCAGAAATGGCCTCTGTCGCAAAGCTTCTTTCTGATCCTTATTCGTGTCATAGACAGAGATGCGCGCCGGTTCGTCGATTCGCCGCCGCTGAAGGCAGAGAAAAATTGTTGCGACTTCTGCGGCGCGACTTCTGCAGCGCGTTTCTATCTTTTTGTATACGGCAACGTACAGATACAGTTGGTACGCGAAGAACGTGCCAGAAATGAACGAGAACGTTGTTTTACTTAAATTGTGAAATTCGCCGCCGATAACCAATTTTTAGCCGTCGCCGAAGGCGGAGACAATTTTAATAACCTCGCCGCCGCCGAAATTTTTTATGGGCGCACATGTCTGGTCATAGAACCTTCGTTTTAGTCCCAAATGCGAGATCTGACTTGATTACTCAGAAAGCGAGGTGAAAACCCGTGTACATACTCAGGATCGAGAGACAGTTTTCCGTGAGGATTTGGGTTTTCCGGAAACCCTAGAGTATTTCGAAAAGCTTTCTGATCATGTCAGTGGATAGAGCATACAGTTCTGAACAAAATGAGACGTTAAAGATGTTTCTACGACGTTACTATAAGGAATTAGAGCAATTTTTCGACGAGTAAAAACGAAACAACAGTTCTAACGTTTAGGAGAGATTCATCGTCCATAGTATTTTTCTCTGGATTTTCACAGAAACATCTTTAATGCCTCACTTTGCTTAGAAATGAATACTCTATTCATTGACATGATCAGAAAGCTTTTCGAAATACTCTAGGTTTTCCGGAAAACCCAAATCCTCACGAAAAACTGTCTCTCGATCCTGAGTGTGTACACGGATTTTCACTTCGCTTTCTGAAAAATCAAGTCAGATCTCGCATTTGGGACTAAAAGGAAGGTTCTATGACACGAATAAGGGTCAGAAAGAAGCTTTGCGACAGAGGCCATTTCTGCTGGAAAATAACGAAAAATGCATTTTTCTGCTGAGAGAGAGTATTCTGACTATAACTTTTTTCTGGACAAAGACAGAAAGCTGCGGTTTCGCCTTTGAAATCAGCGTCAAAACCTACATCAGAAAATGTGTATCTCTGTTTCTCATCGAGGTTAAAGTGTGATTAAAACTAATCTAGTCGACTAACTCAAATCTTTGTAAGATTTACTTTCGCACAACTTACTGAAATGTTAAATAACAAGTTACAATTCCATAGTACGCTTTCGGTACTTTTGGATGATCATTTGGTGCCAGAACTAGAAATGCTTTGTATACTTCAATTGCATCTCTCGTGGCAGCATCATTTTCCAACAGACGTAAGAAATCAGCTTTCATACACATTAATTCACAATTAGTCGGATCAATCGACAGACCAACATTGCAACTTTCTAAAGCTTTTTCAAATCGGTCTAATGAAGAATCTGCAGCAGCAAGGCTGATATAAAAATAAACACATTTGGGATTTTGTTTTATGCACTGTTTCAAATATTCAATTATTCTATTCGTATCATAACCAAAGAAAGAAACATAACACATTTGTGTTTCTTCGTCATTCGGTTTTCGTTTCAATGAACGATTAATGACTTCTTCAATTTTTTCATCAATTTCGAGACCAAGTAGTTCTACAGCAGATGGTTCTAGACGAATGCATTCAGCCATTTCATGTATGAATTGACGTTCATTTGTTTCCGCATCTGAACTCATTAGCATTTTCAATGCCGTGTGAAAATGTTCCAAAGCCTTACATAAGCGTTGAGCTGTACGTGAACCCCTTAACGCATGCTCTTTCAATGTATCATAATGATATTGCGGTTCCGAACATTCATACTTACGATCGCTGACGTTAGATTTTGGAACGGCAGAAGAAGCATGTTGTTTTATTTCGCTGACAGGATGCATCTGAGAAGTTGAAGATTCTTTCTGGCTGGCAGCTGCGTGAAATTGTTCTTGATTCAGTTGAGCTGATATATGACCTGCATCACATGCTCTTCTATGCCACTCTCGTGCTATTTGAAATTGGTTTCGTTCAAGTAAACAGAGAGCTAACGACAGCATTGCATTTGGATCACCTTTAGTAGCTGCGAATTCAAATAGCTGCTCTGATTTTTCAGTGTTCTTCTCTACGCCTAATCCATTTTCATACATTATCGCTAAATTATTTGCTGAAGAAGGAAGTCCGTGATTCATTCCACGTTCGTACCAGTAGGCAGCCGTCTTCAGATTCTTCTTCACAACAACACCTTCTTCGTATCGCAAGCCGAGTGCATGTTCAGCTTCAGCTACACCGGGCATTCTTAGAGTAGGTATCTTTGGATGATAAGGTGGCTTTGATGCTGCTTTTTGAAACAATTCCAGAGCCATCTGATGATCTTTTTTAATACCACCCTGGCCACGATCAGCCATTCGAGCTAGATTGTATATACCTTCAGCATTACCCTTAGCAGCTGCTTTGGTATAGTACCTGCAAGTCAATAGAGAGAAGTTATTCAGCGACAAGATATGCGCGCTCAGCAAAAGACCTTTCCGCTCACAAACTACTTTGCTTTTTCCCAAGTTGCTCAATAAAGCTGCTTTTTTTGCAGAAACTAGTTTAAAAATGTGTGTCTCATAAGGGAAGCCGTCAAAACTCGCATCGGTGAATTTATTCACCGGTGAATATTTTCATTTGATTGGAAACAAAATGGAGAACAGTATTATTCAATATGCCTGAGAAAAAGAATATGGAACTATCGTATAATAGAATGACGATGTATGTATATATTCATTTCTGTATTATACTTGACTTGATGTTGTCCTTTTCACTTCTTACACTAATTTAAAGTACACAAAGTGTAATATATTTGTCATATTTTTCAGAAACAAGTTTCTTTCAGTTTTTAAGGCCTAGAGCTGTCAACAGCGTAGATCAAAGGTGATAAAATGGATCTGTTTCAATTTAATTCTAGTGAAACTTTAGAGACATATAACTCGGAACATCAATAAATTTTTCAGAAACCAGTTTCTTTCGTAACGTACGATTTGTATATTTTATATCATGTGTATACATTATCATCTATTTAGCTATAAATAATTCTCAGAGGAAAATAGGGCTTCTCTGACTATGATATTTCGAAAAAGAAAGTTATGTTTGCCATTCCAAATTTGTGTAATTTATAAAATTAAAGCGAATTCCATACATTTTACTAACTTTATTCTATAATATTGAGATCTCTATATGCCAAAAACTAAAAGATAGCTTTTTCTAAAAAATAGCATAGTATAGAGTACGAGTTGTGTACTACAAACTACCAGAAAAGCTGAGGAAGGGTACCGTCAAATTTGTTAACGTTTTAATCTCTGAAGTTGCTAGAATAAACACTAATTTCATAGCGAAGAGAATCTTTCTTTTGGGTAAAACGATAAAATTTGTTCTTTTCTCCATTTTTTGCTTTATATCTGTGTCTCTATAGTATGCATAGAAAGAAGAAAACATCAAAGT